TAATGCACCTAGACCTGGATGCCAAATTTCTGTTCATAATGATGAACTCATTGCAAAAGTCAGAGAACCGATACAATAAGGTCATTGTTTTACTGTGAGGATGATGGCAGATGAATCTGGTGACCATTCATATCATTTTAGTGAAAGATTTTTGCAAGAAAACATTGCTTGCCGGTTTGTACCACACTCGTTTGATCACCAAAAACATCAGCGGGTTGAGAACCCAAGTGACATCACCAAAACAAGAATTTTTGACCCAGAAACAAGTTTGTGCTATCAGCCTTCCACTCTATTCCCCAGATTTGACTCCCTGTGATTATTTTATATTCCCAAAATTAGAGTTACGATTGAAAAGACGCTTCTTTGACAATATTGATGACATTCAAAGGGCCGTAACATTGACTTTAATGGCCTTAACAACAGAAGAACTACAGGGGTCACTCCATAGTTTGATAGATCGTGCCACTTGCTGTATCAATGCACAAGGGGATTACTTTAAATCAGATACAGGTTAAATCTTCAACAGTTGATTATTTTAATTTTTATGGAGTTAAATTAAGTTTCATTACTTAATTGTCTGACTTTTTATTTGAATCGCCGTCTAGGCAAAGAAGATGATTACATCAAATGGATTCCACACACTAGTCTCAACACTAAACCAGGGTTTGAAGGGTGTTTACTGGGCAGAAAGGAAACATTCAAACTGATTAAGAAAGATTCTTGGTGAGAAGTTTTATTGTTCATTTGTGTGCTTTTTTTTAAATTCCTGTTTTTTTTTTTTTTTCTCTGTACTAACAGTTTATTCTGGCTGTACAGTTTATGTTTATTCTCTTCTGGCTGTACAATCTATATATAGTCTCTTCTGGCACTACAATCTATATTTAGTCTCTTCTGGCTGTACAATCTATATATAGTCTCTTCTGGCACTACAATCTATATATAGTCTCTTCTGGCACTACAATCTATATTTAGTCTCTTCTGGCACTGCAATCTATATTTAGTCTCTTCTGGCTGTACAATCTATATTTAGTCTCTTCTGGCTGTACAATCTATATTTAGTCTCTTCTGGTACTACAATCTATACTTAGTCTCTTCTCTCACTACAATCTATATTTAGTCTCTTCTGGCTGTACAATCTATATTTAGTCTCTTATGGCACTACAATCTATGTTTAGTCTCTTCTGGCACTACAATCTATATTTAGTCTCTTCTGGCACTACAATCTATATTTAGTCTCTTCTGGCTGTACAATCTATATTTAGTCTCTTCTGGCACTACAATCTATATTTAGTCTCTTCTGGCACTACAATCTATATTTAGTCTCTTATGGCTGTACAATCTATATTTAGTCTCTTCTGGCTGTACAATCTATATTTAGTCTCTTCTGGCACTACAATCTATATTTAGTCTCTTCTGGCTGTACAATCTATATTTAGTCTCTTCTGGCACTACAATCTATATTTGGTCTCTTCTGGCACTACAATCTATATTAAGTCTCTTCCGGCTGTACAATCTATATTTAGTCTCTTCTGGCTGTACAATCTATATTTAGTCTCTTCTGGCTGTACAATCTATATTTAGTCTCTTCTGGCACTACAATCTATATTTAGTCTCTTCTGGCTGTACAAACTATATTTAGTCTCTTCTGGCTGTACAGTCTATATCTAGTCTCTCCTGGCTGTACAAACTATATTTAGTCTCTTCTGGCTGTACAGTCTATATTTAGTCTCTCCTGGCTGTACAATCTATATTTAGTCTCTTCTGGCTGTACAAACTATATTTAGTCTCTTCTGGCTGTACAGTCTATAGTCTCTCCTGGCTGTACAATCTATATTTAGTCTCTTCTGGCTGTACAAACTATATTTAGTCTCTTCTGGCTGTACAATCTATATTTACTCTCCTCTGGCACTACAATCTATATTTACTTGCAGGTGCCGAAATGGATACTACAAAAATATGGATGTTCTCACAGATAATTGCAAGTGCACAGAGGAAGATTATGAATGGTAAGCATTGATGTTTATGTCATTGTGTGCCATTCATCTATTTTATCACTGTGCAAAATTTAAGCGCTTTAAAAATTACTGTGTTTTGTATTTTTTTTATTTATTATTCTTGCATGCCATTGGCACATTGGACCCACATTTTTATGAACCAATTGGCATTTTATTGGCAGTGAGTCAACATCACAACAGTCATCTTCATTCCCAAGGACATTTCCTCATCCCCCCTGAAGCGTTCTTGATCCATTAAAAAAAGTGAGTTTAGCATCATATGTCCGATGCATCACTGGTATAGAAAGGGCCCACTACTTTACTGACTGACATTTTAATTTGTGTCTCACTTGTCATCTTGTGCTGTGCAGATAAGCATAGACAGCTATGGTTTATCATTTCATACTTACTTACCATTTTATGAACTTATTGGTTCAATGTGCAGTGAGGATAATCTAACTAACTTGTATTCCACTGATAAAAACTTTGGTCGAAACATTTGGTTATGTTTATGCACGTCTTTTACATTCCCTCTGTTAATTTCTGTAGTTGCATTTTGTGTTGTATTTAGCACTTCTTCACTGAGATTGAGTAGCAGGTTATTTTATCTCCTCCACAGGTTTCATATATATATATATATATCACTGTCATAATCAATAGACTTAGACCTTATCTGCAGTAGAAAATATGTTTAATGTAGAAACGAAAATGGGAAAATGTTAATGTAGCAGACATTTTGATGTATAATGTATCTTTTCCTCAGTGACTATGGCTTCTATCGACCGGACAACTCCGTGAAATGCGTCAGACAGCCAGATATTAAAGCCGAACAAATTGATATTTGTAAAGGAGGCCACTTAGAGAAACTTGAAACAATTGGGTAAATAACTCTCTATGCTGTGGTAACATTATTATGATTATTATTATTGATTATAACTTTTATTTTTAGATTAGCTAGTTGAATTAATTTTTACATTTTATAATTTGATCGTATTTAGTTAATAAGATTAACCATTTACACCTGCTGTCTTTCTGTCATTTTTTATTCAGACAATTGTAACTGTTTCAGTACCAACCAGATGTTGTTTTACCACACCTTAACGTATTATTTTGTTTCCTACAATTTAACTTTTCTGGCTTTGAAAGGGTTTAAATAAAAACATGTGGAATTCCAGCCCATATATTTTTGTGTTTCATTCAGTTTACATAACAAACATGTAGCTGCCAAATTCATGATCTTTATGTGCTCCATCTGTTCTGTTTTAACAATTTTAATTTGACGAGATTGGCCGTATAATTATCCAGCACATTGGCAACTATGAACCTCTTTTAACTGCAGTGAAAAGGCGGAAAATGCAATGGTTCGAAAATTTAAAAAGATTTAACTACCTCTCAGAAAAAGTACTATGTGGTGCAATAGAGGGGAAGAGGAGAATAGGCAGGCCAAGAAAAACCTGAATACAGAACTTGAATGACTGGACACACTTAAGGCATGCAACCATGAAGTCCATCACATCTGACCGCCAAAAGTGGTGGGAGCTGATGAAACAGTCAACAGCAACTGGTGACCCAACGGACACGCAGTGTTGTAGGATGATGAATGATATCTTATATGTTAACGTGAGGGACAGGTGGACAGCATTTTGTTCATGTCAGAGAATGTTTTTTTCACAAAGCTGAATGTACAGTTAAGGTACATGTTATACAAACACATGCAAACAATGCATGCATACATACAATGTACACACACACACACACTACAGCACTGCATTACACTACACTAGATAACCAAATATATAAATAAGGTTATGCCTTCAAATAATCTTACTAAAATGTAAATTGGACATACATTTTCGTATAGTAATAGTTTTTTGCAGACCTCATGAATTAGCTTGCTGTTTAAAAACAAAAATTATCATATTCTTACCTTGAAAGTCATTTCTACCATTATTTGTCTTCCCTCTCTCTCAGTTACCGCCGTATCCCAGGTGATACTTGTGACGCCACCTATGGCTTTCACCCTGTCAGTGATGTGACTGAGTTAGATGTCATCTGTGGGGCTGGAGATAAGAAGGCTGTTCAACAGGACATGACGGTGACTGTCAAGGTTTGTGGCTGCATGCTCAGAAATAAGGGTTGCTGTTGGGTGTTTTAAAGTGATGAAAATTGTGTGTCTGTTATCCTGTGTGTGGTGTGGTAATAATGTTTACCGAGTTGTCCCATTTTTTTAAATAAGTTGTCTCATGTTATCCTGTGTGTGGTGTGGTTATAATGTTTACTTTATTGTAATTTTTTTTTAAATAAGTTGCCTCAGGTTATCCTGTATTTTGTGTGGCAATAATGTTTACTTTATTGTTCTTTTTTTTTAATAAGTTGATTCAGGTTATCCTGTGTGTGGTGTGGTAATAATGTTTATTGTCCCTTTTTTATTATTTGCCTTAGGTTATCCTGTGTGTGCTGTGATAAAATGTTTACCTAATTGTGCTTTTTTTTTTATATAAGTTGTATCAGGAACGATGCAAAACTGTTACTTTAACTTGCTTGGAGTTATCTTCCTTTACCTTGAAATCTGCTTATTTGTCGTGAATGTTATTAGTATAATTGTTAATCTTGTCAAGCATTGGACAGAAGCAGTGACATCAATGCCTTTCAAAAGATGAATGAGCATAACTCCTCATACCTGTCCGGGTTAGTGGATATGGGGGTTGCCCCCTGGAGCTGCCAGAAATGAACATTTCATTAACTCTTTGAGTTCCAAGGAACACATCATACGTTCATAGGTTACTGCCTAGAAGCCCAATGAACGCGTGATGCGCCGATTTTACGTATCTTTTGACTACCCCTTGGGCCTGTGATGCTAAACCCTCTGGGACTTGAGTTAAGATCACAAGACATTTGATTAAGCAACACAGGACCGGTTGATCAGTCGTTTTAACTCTTGTGGAGTTGGGAAGAAGATCGGATCACCTGTGAGTCTGTTCAAAGTGCACTAATCACCAGTTGGTTCTAGGGCCCCATTTCTGAGGAGGAGAGGATGGATAAGAGAATAGACCAGCTACCACCTTTAGGCCCGTACATACCTTAACAAAATTACCTTTTTCAGATTTCATTAAAAAGAAGAGACTTATAATTCAGTAAAGCTCAACTACCCTGAGAAACTAAAGGAGGAGGAAAAGACTCTGAAGAAATTTTGAGTCAGGTCAGAGTTTATAAAAATCCAGGATTGAAGCCTGTGACCACCAAGCAGACAGGCAAACCAACTAGCTTGTATGTCATCGTGGCCTCTAAGTGACTAAACAGATGGATTTTGGATATTTAGTCATTATTTTGTGCAATATGTATATAACAATATATATATAAAGGGGGCAAGTAAAAGTAAATACAATAGGAGCACACACAAAAAAATAATCACTTTCCTCCCCTTGCCTTTGACCAAGAAAACAGGTGGTTTTGTTCACAGTCTAAGAGAGGAAAGTGACACACAACATCTACAACTTTGCCATTGCAGCCAGTACCAAAACTGTTATATAGACATACAAAGACGTCATGTCATCAGAAACATGTAAAAGTAAGGGAAACTGGCTTTCTTGGAAGTGACAGGGTAAACAGACATTGTGTGGCCAAAAGGTATTGACATTGCAGTATATTGCAGCCTAGCTTTAAACCACAACAAAGTAGGCCCTTGTCCTTTTAAGGGTGAACACAAAGGAGAACGAACTAATGAACAGTATGATTTGTTAATTGATAGATTGTATAGTCTTGAAACCTTAATGTGGTCCTTTCTCTGATCAGCATACAGGAGCTGGTAAAATTGTGGTTGCCGTTATTGGGAGCATCATATTGGTTCTGGTTGCAGTTGTGGGAGCTTTCTTCATGTACAAGCTGGTCCTGTTGAAAAAGCAGTAAGATTGGTTTTGTTCCCTGTTTCTTAAACTGTCAGAACTGTGTTGTACCCTATTTCTAAAACAGTAAAGTTTACTTTATCCCATATTTTTTTTTTTTTTTTTTTCAAAGGATTCATTTGTTGACTTTTTTTGTTTTGTTTAATGGAAAGAGATTTGTGTTTTCCTCTATTTCTAAAACAGTGAGATTTATATTGGCCCTTATTTCTAAAACAGTAAGATTTGTGATTTCCCCCTGTTTCTAAGGTAGTTGTTATTTCTGTTACAGTCAGATTATACTCACTCGTTCAGATTTTATTTAATCCAAAATACTGTGATGGTAAATTTTCAGCCCTAAAATGACCTAAAAGTGTTTTTGTATCATTGTTTTTTTTTTTATACAGTTGCTGTTTTGTATTGATTCAGATAGGTTTGGATACTGAAACCTTTCAAGCAGATAGTATTTTTGCAAGGAAAGCACTAACAAACGACATATGTATTATTCTGTAAGGACCAGAGGAAGGGAAAATACTGACTTTCTTCACAATTCTTTGAAATTCTCGTAAAAAATATTTCTTCTGTATCTTCTTCTTAGCGTTCATCGTGCTGTGAACTCCAGTGGAAGGTTCTGGTTATTGGTCCTTTTCTGGACTTATTGTGTGCACACCTGTTTTACAGATCTGGCAGACTGTATTCAGACTGTTGGTTTCTCACCTTTTGCTGGGAAGGAAACACTCTTATTAGTCGTCTTGTACAACATGCTTGTTAGGGGGCAGTGGATCTACCCCCCCCCCCCCTCCCCCCATAATAAGGGCCTGAAACCTTCACAGGGATGTCAGCCATATTAAATGCCATAATGCCTCCGTGTTTATTCCAGGAGGGGGGGGGGGGGCTATTTTGGGGAAAACAAGAATAGAATAGACCCACTGCCTGCTCAGAAAGTACCTTGTGTGAGTTGACTAACTGGAGGCATCCTTCAGAGTCGGGAGTACATCTGCTTGAGATGCGCAGTCTGCATACAGGTAGGCGAGACCTGTAAAATGAATGTGCACACAGCACTCAGGTTCTGGAACACGACCAAAGTCTAGAGGTGGACGAAAAACCTTAACTTTACGCTGGAGTTTACAACCGGTGACTGTGAAGAAGAAACGCCATAATTTGTTGATGAGAACAGTCATGGAGTGTACAGTTCCTGGAAGAAGAGGCCGGGGGTGACTAGTTAGACGCAGGATATCAAGGACACTAGACATGAAATGAAAGTTCATCAAGCTGGCAAGAGATAAGTGAGTGGGAGTGGCTTTTCACCATGCTGCTATGTCATTTGATGTGGTAGAAATATTTTAACACTGGCAGGAAAACTGTGACTTTTGATTCAAGCACCAGACTTGGATATCAGGTCTGTGAATAAAATTACCTGAATTTCGGTGGTTGTATTTAGAAGAAAAAGCAGATCTTAGTCTTTAAATTGCTGTGCATACTTAATTTGTAATAAAAATATACTTAGTTATGTTGACAAGTTCTTAAATAAGTATTCATGAAGGCGTTTGAACTGTAGTACTCTCTTCCATTTTTCATAAAGTTGTTAGATAAGTATTTGTGAAGATAAGTTTATCTTTCTGCCATTTTTAGTAAAGTTGTTAAATAAGTATTGGTGAAGATGTTTGATTCCATCTTTCTGCTATTTTTAGTAATATTGTTAGATAAGTATTTGTGAAGATGTTTGAGTCCATCTTCCTGCCATTTTTAGTAAAGTTGTTAGATAAGTAATTGTGAAGATGTTTGAACCGATCTTTTTTCTGCCTTTTCCAGCAAAGTTGTCTACAGATACTCCAGGCTGAATCATGGTGACGGGGATCTCGAGAGTGCTGTAGCTCATCATGCGAACCTTTTCAGTGAATCCTCTGACGATGAGGTCAGTATTTTTCTTTTGGCTGTTAACACAGTTAGAACTTCTCATTTATTTCCTCTAAGCTGCGGACAAAACCGTGACAAACTAATTGTATGTACTGATTAGCACTTGTAGATGTAGAAGAAATAAGTAACAGTGAGTACAAAGCAGTTTGTTTAATAAACTATTTCGATGGCCTCAGCAGTTCCCCAGCGATCATTCTAAGTTAATACAAAAAGGTTAAGAAATCTTCAAACGCCGTACTTTATTTCTACAGGCAGGTTCATCCATGATGGAGAGAATTTCTAAAAATGAAAAGGATTTAATGCAAAATTCATCAAAAACAGTTTCATTCATCGCATTAAAGACAACTGAACATTAACTTTGCACTGTTATTTCTTCTTTCCCTAAGAATTCAAACTGCTTTAAGGGTAGGTGTGCTGCAAAAGTTGTTTAGCCCGACAAGGGTGCCACGGCGAAAAAAGTTTGAGAACCGCTTCACTAGAGTGTATTCTGTATGGTTGCTTGCTGAGAGTATCCATAAAACATTAGATTCTGTAGCAGCTGCAGCATTCTGGGGGTCTGAGATACACCTGGCAATTGAACTGTTGCTGGGAGGCAAGGAGTCCTCTACACATGCGTGCATGCACGCGCACACACACACACACACAAATAAAATTTAAGAAAAAAGCCACTTGGGATGTCATTCCAACATAAATTTAGCCTTGTGTCTGTCAGTCATTCAGTTTTGACCTTTACTTCTTGTCAGGTTATACACTGTTGTCTTTCACTTCTTTCTGCAGCTTAAAACTGTCAAAACTTGTTTACTGTGAAAAATTTGTGACTCTTTTAGTCACCAAATCTCATGCATGTTTTTTTTGGACAGTTGACTGTAGTCATTTAAATGTCATCTAGGTGTTTTAAACATTTAGTTTTGGTCTTGAAAACCTTGTCCAAGTTTTATAAACATTTTACTGTGGTTATTAAAACCTTTCTCGGAGGATGGAAGAATAGATAATAGAATAGATAATAGAAAATAGAAACAAGATGCCAACGAGCCAGTACACTTATACAACAACTGACAGCATTATTAAGACATCCAGCCATAAGTATGAGCGCCAAGAAACAGATTAAAAACGGCATGTTCATAACAACACTGTGCTACCAGTGCCAGACTTGGACATTATCAAAGACTAACCTATGTAAAATTAACACCTGTGAAATGAGATGCCTGAGAAAACCCGCCAACTGAACCATTCAAGACAAAGTTAGAAACAATATTATCAGACAGACTGTAGGAACAATACCATGCAGCAAATTCATTGAGAGACAGAAGATCGAATGGTTTGGTCATTTAATGTAGCCAGAACAACTAGCAATGCACACACTAAACATGAAAGGATCTGAAGTAAAAGCAATAGGCTGTCCTTGGAGAATTTAGATTGATGACATTAAAGAGCTTCTACACCGACATGAAATGACGGTGGCCAATGCTGCCCATCAAGCAATAGATCACATATTATTCCTTCTACAAAGCTTAACGGCAGAAGTGGAAACTGATGATGATGATCAAAACCTTATCAAAGTTTTATAAACATTTGATTCATCATCTTAAGTTTTCACTTAAGCATCCCGGGGAAGAACAGCTACTGATCCATTGCTTAATGGGCAGCACTGGGTACTGTCATTTCATGTTGATACAGAAGGTCTTTAATGTCGTCAATCAATATTCTCCTAGGGCTTTCACTTCAGATTGTTTTGTGTGTAACACCTGTGTTGCTAGTTGTTCTGGCTGTATTCTTACTAGATGACCAAACCATTCTATCTTCTGTTTCTCAAGAATTTTCTGCACTGTGTTGTTAACACAGTCTGTCTGATAATATCATTTCTAACTTTGGTTAAGTTGGCAGCTTTTCTCAAGCATCTCATTTCAGAGTTGTTAATTTTACAAAGGTTAGCTTTTTTTAATAATGTCAAAATCTGGCACTGGTAGGACAGTGTTGGTATGAATATGCTGTTTATAATATGTTCCTTGGTGCTTAAACTTATGTTTGGATGTCTTAATAAAACAGTTCATTATGGTCGTCAAATCCTCATCAAAGTATTATAAACATTTGACTTTAGTCATCAAAACCTCATCAAAATTTAGAAACAGTTGATTGTAGTCCTCCAAACTATATCCGTTTTTGAACAGTTGATTTTAGTAATTAGAGGCACATCCATTTGTAAACAGTTGATTAAAGTAGTCAAAATCACATTCATTTACACAGTAATTGACTGTAGTCAGCAAAAAACCCCACCCTCAGATGATGCTGTGACAAGACATTACTTTGGCCTTCATCTATTTCTAAATCCAGATTGAGCAGAAGAGTCCACCAGTGAAGCAGAATCCACCGGTCAAGCAGAATGGCAATGGTTATGTTCCTGCTCCTGCAAAAGGCCCAGCAGACATTAAATCCTACCATGATGACTCTGATGATGTAAGTGATTGTGTTGCTGTTAGAGCAAGGCTGCAGACATGTTTGTTTAGGTTAAAGACATGTTTGTGTTGCTGTTAGAGCGAGGCTACAGACATGTTTGTTTAGGTTAAAGACATGTTTGTTTAGGTTAAAAACATGATTTTGTTGCTGTTCGATAGAGCAAGGCTGCAGACATGTTTGTTTAGGTTAAAGACATGAATGTGTTGCTGTTAGAGCAAGGCTACAGACATGTTTATTTAGGTTAAAGACATGATTGTGTTGCTGTTAGAGCAAGGCTACAGACATGTTTGTTTAGTTTAAAGACATGATTGTGTTGCTGTTAGAGCGAGGCTACAGACATGTTTGTTTAGGTTAAAGACGTGATTGTGTTGCTGTTAGAACAAGGCTACAAAAATGTTTATTTAGGTTAAAGACTTGATTATGTTGCTGTTAGAGCAAGGCTACAGACATGTTTGTTTAGGTTAAAGACATGTTTGTTTAGGTTAAAAACATTATTTTGTTGCTGTTCGATAGAGCAAGGCTACAGACATGTTTATTTAGGTTAAAGACATGAATGTGTTGCTGTTAGAGCAAGGCTACAGACACGTTTGTTTAGGTTATGTGCATGACAATGTTTCCAGAGAAAATAAAAAGTAAAAGTAAAGTTCCCTTTGTTCATGCCTTTGGGTGGATTGAGAATAAAGGGCTAGACCTATATTTTTTAAAGACCACTGGGCACTTAATGTGGTCAGCATCGGGCCGGCCACCTTTACTTTCCAGGACTGCACCGAATACCCACTCAAGGCCGGGTCCCAGAAAAATGTCCCCACGTTATTGGTGTCTTTCGTCTTGAAGTCTCTCACTTCAGTGGGCCTTTCTTTAGGGATCTGCTACATTGGCTCATGACCAGCCAAGGCCTGAGCACCAGGCAGTGGTGGTATTTGATTATTCACCACATCTGGGCTCTGGTGCCTCATTTCATGGATTGGGGGAAGGAGGGAGTGAATAGACCCACTTCCCCCTAGCAGGCATGTCCTAAAAGGCAACTAATTAGGGGTTTTTCCTTTGAGGTTGGAGTGCATCTGCCAGAGAGGTGAGGAACAAACAGTCTGCACACAAATAAACCAGATCTGTAAAATGTCTGTACACTCAAAACAAGTCCCAGAACAGTACTAGAGTCCAGAAGTGGACAAATAACCAGAAAGAAGAAGATCAGGGTATATATCTCATAGGTGGGCTGACATCCCCAGCTGATGAGTCCCCACCACCCGGAGGTGGGTTTGTAGTGTCCCAGTTTGTTTTAGCACCCTTTTCCTTCAGTTTGAAATCCCTGCCATTCAGTTCTAACCTCACAGTTTCATCAGATGATTTGATTCATGACCTGCCAGGTTGAAATATGAAATATCAACAGTTAGAATTGTCTGAACAAACTGAGTTATGGATTATTGTGTAAGTACTGAACATAGGTAAGAGAGAGGGGAAGTTAGCCTCATAGCAGAAATGTTGTTGGGTTGTAAAGTGGTTTTCATATTTTCTGGGCTATAACATAAGAGATGAGGCAGAGAGTTACCTCCTTCATCACCTTTCGTTCCCATACAATTCCTAGAAAATTCTACAAATATTTGTTACCCATTTCTGAGATGCTGGGTCGACCGCAGGCTGGTGATTGAACCCTGACCTCTTGTCTGTGTAGACAAGCGTTTTAACAACAGTTGACTTTCTTTTTCTCACTCTCATTCTCACATACACACTCATTTATACTTGGGCATGTACTTGTGTGTGGTGTACATGCATACTTAAATACATATGTACATACATATATTTATACAAACACACACATGTATACATATATGTATTATTTCTTTGGGCGTGTGCTTTCTTAGCTAAGCTGACCAGTGGCCAGTGGGTTTTTGGTTTTTTTCAATCAAAGTATTTGTCTCCTAGTTGGGTTGATGTCTCCAGCTCTGCAGTCCCACTCACCCTGAGGTGTATTTTTTAGCAAAAACATACACATACATACACACATTTTTTATGGTGTATACATACACACACACACACACATATATGCACACACACAATTTTACTCTGTTGCACTTGATGATGCTGTTTGTTTACCAGCAGTGATAGTAAATATTTGTTTGTTACAGGACATGCTAGGATAGTTGACTGCACAGATCTCTCCAGCTATTGACACATGCAATAATGGATCCAGACCGGGTCTCCACAGATTCTGTGATGAAGATTAAGATCAGGAACTGGTGTTATTGCTAGTTCCTGGACTGTTTTTTTTTTATATTTTTTTTTTTTGGGGTGTTTGCTGTCTTTGCATTCTGGTAGTGTTTTCAGTCTCACATGTGATTTTGAAAGTAGTTTCACATGTGGATATATTCTAACAGTCTCACATGTGATTTTGAAAGTAGTTTCACAATGTGGATATATTCTAACAGTCTCACATGTGATTTTGAAAGTAGTTTCACAATGTGGATATATTCTAACAGTCTCACATGTGGATATATTCTAACAGTCTCACATGTGGATATATTCTAACAGTCTCACATGTGATATTTAAAGTCAAATAATCTGTTTCTCATGTGATTCTGAAATTGATATATTCTAACAGTCTCACATGTGATTTTGAAATTATTGTACTCTTTTTCACATGTGATTCTGAAAGTGAAATACTTTATTTCATGTGTTGTGCTGGTTGTAGTACATTTTGACAGTTTCACATCTAATTCTGAAAGTAATATATTTCAGCAGTGTAACTTGTGATTCTGAAAGTAATAAATTATGTTTCACATGTTGCTCTGATTGCGATATATTCTGACAGTCTCACATGTGATTCTGGTTGTATTATATTCTGAGTCTCACTTGTGATTCTGAAAGTAATAAATTATGTTTCACATGTTGCTCTGATTGTGATATATTCTGACAGTCTCACATGTGATTCTGGTTGTATTATATTCTGAGTCTCACTTGTGATTCTGAAAGTAATAAATTATGTTTCACATGTTGCTCTGATTGTGATATATTCTGACAGTCTCACATGTGATTCTGGTTGAATTATATTCTGAGTCTCACATGTGATTCTGAAAGTGATATATTCTAACAGGGTCACTTGTGGTTCTGAAAGTTGTATTTTCCAACAGTTTCTTGGATAATTCTGAAATTAAAGTATCGTGTTTCACATTTGATTCTTATTGTGGTGTACTCCAGCAGTTTCATTTGTGTTTCTGAAAATAAAATATTTTGATAGTCTGACATGTGGTTCTGAAAGTTTTATCTTATAAGCCTCATTCATGATTATGAAAATAATATATTCTCTGGTGGTCTCACAGATGATTCTGAAAGTTATATATTCTGAGCCTCATTCATGATTCTGAAAGTAATATATTCTCTGATGATCTTACATATGATTCTGAAAGTAATATTTTCTGATGAACTGTCATGTGATTCTGAAAGTATTATCTAATGTTTCACGTGTGATTCTCTGAATAGTATCTTATGTTTCACGTGTGATTCTCTGAATAGTATCTTATGTTTCACATGTGATTCTGAAAGTAATATACTCTTTTTCACATATGATCCTAAAAATAATGTATTCTCTTTCTCTTGTGAGTAGAAAAGTAATATATTCTGCTGCACGTGTGATTTTGAATGTTAATACATTGTGTTTGAAGGTGACATATTCATAGAGTTCTGTGTATGTTTATGATACACACTATTGGTTCACTCTAATGATTGCATAATTGTGAATGCATATTATTGATAGCATAAAGAATTACATCATGACTTCATTGTGTACATACATTAAAAATTCCATTTGATTGATACCTGTGTCTACAGTTGTATATTTGTTATTGGTTTGAAGACATGGTTTGTTTCTTCAGCATCTTTAAATTGAGAAATAAAGATCATGTGTTTTGGCAGCAGTCACTGTGGAAGCTGGGTAGGTATAACTAGAGGGAAAGTCTTCTCTTTTACCTCTTGTTTTTTTCTTTTTTTCTGCAGCTTCATTTTCTTCGGCTGTGCTGGTTTTTCTTCTTCATTTTTAAAAAAGAAAATCATTTCTTCTGCTTCTCCTCCTCTTTCATAATTTTATTCTTTCTTTTTCTGCTCCACCTTTTTTTTTTAACCATCTTCTGTTGTTGTTATTCTTTATCTTTCCTCCTGCAGTAGTGTTATAGCCCTTAACAAGTTCACACTAAATTCTTTGTGGAATTGTTCGTGTTTGGTTAGGGGTTCCAGCTGCAGCATTCTGTGAAATTGTTCAGGTTTGGTTAGGTTTTTGTTTTTTTTAGCTGCAGCATTCTGTGGTATTGTTCAGCTTTGGTAATTTTTTTTTCAGCTTTAGCATTCTGTGGGATTGTTCAGGTTTGGTTAGGTTGTTTTTTTTTTAGCTGCAGCATTCTGTGCGATTGTTCAGGTTTAGTTAGGGGGATTTTAGCTGCAGAATTCTGTGGGATTGTTCAGGTTTTGTTAGGGGGATTTTAGCTGCAGCATTCTGTGGGATTGTTCAGGTTTTGTTAGGGGGGTTCTAGCTGCATCGTTCTGTGGAGTTAGCTAGGCCACTGCCCACCCTCTTGAGTATCCTAGACTGCAGTTTTACTATTCTTTGCATTACTAAGATCCCACACAGCCGGCCCGCAGGGAACTGTAGGAGAGGTTCAGTTTATTCGTGGTCCTAATGAGAATTCTGATCGTTATCTATTTTTGAAAACTCATGATGCCTGTTGTGTACAGACTTTCCTTTTCCTGTAGCCTATAACTATTTGTACCGTCCTGACTAAGAGCCACATGCAAATCCTGATCTGTCACTATTAAATATTCTATTGTGGCCAGATTTTGGCCATTTTGCTAGGCGTGATGTTTCTAATTTGTAGCTACAGGGGAATTCCTTTTTTTAAAGTTTACAATCTACATTACAAGACTTCTGGATACTTCATCACTTTTTCCAGACAGTCTAGGCATCTAATCCCCTACCCAGACATCAGATGAGAGGATTTTTTTTTTTTTTTAAAGAAAAATTTTCCTAGATTGAATTTTAACCCAGAACTATGTCTCCCAAAAATTGAATAAATGTTATACAGACAGCAGAATTCACCTCTTAGCCACTCTGAACACACGCTTATAAAAATATGTTCTTGAACCCCTGGGAATTTTTGTTTCAAATCCTTAGAAAACTATTTACACATTTTACATTTGTTAAAGTCAACAATTTGGTTATGTAAATTTGTTTAATAAATTTTTAATTTTTTTTTCATTTTTTATCTTTTAATAAAGTAAATCCAGATTTATGTAGAAAGTAAACAGTAAATATGGACATAGTGAAGTGTTAAATGAAACTCATTCCCAGGGGCTTAGAAAAAATGTATCGGAAAGACCCATGTCATCACCTCTACTACATAGGCTACACGAGAAAATGTTGTCAGTGTGGCTTTAAAAAATTGTTCTGATTCGCAAGACCTCCCAGTGTTATTTTTAGTAAATGTATTCATACCCTGATCTCTTAAACGCTGTGCAGACGTAAACACAGTCACAGTAGCTATGTGTCTCGTAAACATGTCACCTATATAAGTCAATAAGCCAACTTTGACATAGATTTGAACTTAACTGGAAATGTCACTTCTGTGGCTTCAGGGTTAAGTCTGTTTGTCTTACTACAGACAGGTAGCCATAACTTGGGTCCTGTTGTTTGTCTTACTACAGACAGGTAGCCATAACTTGGGTCCTGTTGTTTGTCTTACTACAGACAGGTAGCCATAACTTGGGTCCTGCCATCCTGCCCAGCATAAGCTTGACACTGATTGCTCCTGAACTTTATTCACAACTATTTCTTATCTTATACTTTTCTGAAATGATCCAAAGTAGCAGGAAGAGCCATCTGTCGAATGTTGACAGTTTGACAAACACAGTAATAGATGAGAAACGTCTTTGATCAGAAATTTCAATCTTCAGGGAATTATGAATAGGCTGGAGGGGAAAAAATACTATTTTTGTATAGTAAATCGAGACTCCCTTCTTTGGGAAATTATGAATGTCAGAACAGTTATTAATCAAAAGTAATTTACACTTTTACTGAAATTGTATTAAATTTTTGGATAACACTTTGTGACTCCGGCTGTCTACAAGAAATTACCCAGAACAGAAGCAACTTGAAGCACCTCATTGCTCACTTGAGGGTTAGTCTTAGATGAACAATAACTGATATGTGTGGGGGATTTCATTCACATAATACATAGAGTGTGAGGTTATAAATGTCAGTAAATGGTTTTGCTGATTATTACATTGCTTTCTGTATGAACTAAACAATTTTGTTATCAGTTAATATAGTTTTAAAAAAAAAAAAGTAAAGATCCCTTTTCACGCCTTAAGACGCATTGGGCATATGGGAAAAGCACACATAATATTACAAACCAATCAGCACTAGGTGGGTAGTCAGCAATATGCCATCTTTACTTCCCCAAGACACCCATCCTGTACCTATTTTAGGCTGGGTCGACCTGCTACGCCCCACTCCATGATAAAATCCATGCAGCCAGCAGTGGGTTTCGATCAGGGGACGTTAAAATTACGAGCTGGACTAACAACTCCTAAGCCACGGATGCCGCTTCAGTTAATTTGCCATCACAACAAAACAAAAACAAAAAAATTGAAATGTTTTGATAAAACTATGATAGATTTTAGATGCCATATTTTCAATAGTATATACATTTGTTATATACAGTTATATTCGGGGGTCTGTCAGTCCAGAGTAGCTTTGCATGAAGCATTTAATTGATGCCAGTTAATAAATTCTTAGTTTATCTTTTAGAATCAACCCCGGGTTAGTTTCAACAAGAAAGTTCAGTGAATTTCTTTAAAAATAGGGCATATTTCATAGAAACAGAAACATCAGTTAGCGTCATTCTGAAGACACTGGGAATAAAAAAGAAATTAGCTGAAGAAAAAAGTAGTAAAATATTTTGGTCGCATTTTAAAATATAACACAGGGGGTCGAAGGCTGAAGATGAAGAGGTGGACAATGATCCAAGTGGGAGGACTGTTTTAAGAGATGGACAAACAGCAGTTGGAGAGCATGTACTACCGTGAAAAGATTGCTGAAGGTTCGTTGCAGCCAAGCTTCATTGTAAAGACGGCAAGCACCCGAAACTCTTTGATA